GGAGGGGCTCTGGCAGCGGGGCAGCGCAGGCGCGCCTGGGCTGCTCCGCTGCCAGAGCCCCTCCGCGGCTTTGCTCCGCGTCTTCCTGGTCTGCAGACCAGGGAGACGCGGAGCAGCTTTTCTTGCCCGGGAGTACACGGGCGGCGGGACCACGCAGTCCGCAGTCCGTGTTCGTAACTGCGGATTCAACGTAAGTCGGATCCGCGTAAGTCGGGGACTGCCTGTATACTCATGTATGCAGTTAACTAATCAGCCTGGGCTCATCGGTTAACATTCACAGTTACATGTAGGCTCCCGGTACACACAGGGAGACGATTTAAAAGCCAGTTCCTTGCATGCACCAGCTCCTGGGGAGCTGCCTGCCGCCCTGCAGACAGCAGCCAGTACGTGTGGGGAGACAGCTTAAAAGCTGGCTACCTGCATGCACTGGCTCCTAGGGAGCCTACTGCCACCCTGAGTGTAACTGTTGACATTTTCATCAACTACACTGTTACTTAATTACACACATTTTAACATCTCTATTAAGCATTCAACTAATGTGGTCTCTGATTTATTTGCTTGTAGGAGTTGATTTATCCAAAGTGGAAAAACGTCCAAATGCGGCCCAACTCCTACTGAGACTGGATTTTGAAAAAGATATACGAAAAATACTTTTGTTTCTTAAAGATGTGGGTGTAGAAGATAATCAGCTGGGGCCATTCCTGACCCAAAATCCATACATTCTTACTGTAGACATGGAGGCTCTGGAGACAAGGTAGGTCTTTCATGAAACAAGAAGTCCTAGACCCATTAACCCATCTGTACAATAAGTAAAATACTACAGTGGGATTTTCAGTCTAATATGTAAATGCTTTAAAATCTCAAATGCAGGGCCCTAAGTGAAACTCCATACAAAATGCCTCCCCCCTCATCTCTCACAACTCAATATCTATGCATCTGTGCAAGAAATCTGTTGGTTGCCCCATACCTTTCTGTTCCCCTGCTCACTTGCTGCTCATGCAGATCTGTACCTGCTGATGTCTGCCACCTCTACATGAACCAGGATATGAGGGGGTGAGAGAGTGCAACTTTCTAAATAGGGTGCAGAGAGATGCAATTATAATTGGTTTGCACTGCTGTTACCAGATTAAGTCCAGAGACTGTGGAGGGGAATCAGAATTATGTGGGCTAATTGTGGTGCCCGTGAGTGTTGGAATCCTGCAGTCACATATATCTAAGTCTGCCACTGCTCAAAAAGGTAGAATAAAAAATCAGGTAGATTTATTAGTCTGGGAACCCTACAGTTGTAACAGGTGGGAATATGCGCTCAAAATTACTCTGAGAATGAAAAACACAAATTAAGTCACAATAAAATTATCTTAACTGGCTATTTTGTGGGAGTGAGTCGCACTAGCAGAGAACACAAAACAAAGAAGCTCGAAAGATGTGGACTGCTGGCATCCTATCAGTAGCCTAATTTCTATGTCTTGCCCACCTGCTGAGATGGCTTATTCAATTCTTTAAACCGATTCAGTTAAACTTAGTAGAACTGCATTTTACTAGCAATGGGAAATTCTGAGTTTATTATTATTACATTGGTTGTGTCTATTAGCATAAAGTAATTTCAAAACAGAAACTGAATAAATCGTAGAATTGCTACATTGTGGTTAGGAATCAAAGCCTGCATTAGTACAGCTGGGTGCAGCAGGCTGCCTGTTTTGATGCAGAGGCCAGCAAGTTCTTAAGGCCGCACCAGCAGCTGCTAGCTTCTCAAGGCTTGTGACTACTTTGTTCCTGTTACTACTTTACCTTGTTTCTACTGTTTCTGCCTTGCATTCAATGTTGCCTCTGTCCTGCCCCTGTGTTGAGCCTCTCCTTTCCTGCAACCCTGCTCACTCTAGTTCCTCACTTCAGTTTGATTTTTGCACTGGCTGACACGCTCTCTCTCTGACCCTCAGCTCTGGTTCCTGCCCCCAATCTAGCCTTTGGCTTTGACTTTTGACTACTGACTACAGCTCTGACCTTAGTTCCTGCATCTTGCCAACAGGCTACTAAAAGGATGCCAGTAGTCCACACCTTTCGAGCTTCTTTCTTCCTACTCCAACCAATACACTAGCCTGTCCTTATCAGGGTGGGCTGACAGTTGCGCTCTCTAAAGTGAAAGTGGCTGAGAGATAGCAGTTGCCAAAGTGGGAATTAAAAAGGTTTAAAATTAGGGTGTGATCATCCATCCCATTTTTACCGGGACAGTCCCTTATTAGACAGTCTTTCTATTAAGCCGTCACCGTTCTTGTCTGTCTCACAGGATGTTCAACTTGTCCCTCCTGCGCATGCACCCCGCCAGCTCCTGCAGGCTCCTGCTGTGGCAGACGTGGCAGGCCTGCCCCTCTCCCTGGCAGGCCGCCCCTACCAGCTTCTGCAGCTCCCCAGCATCTGCCCCAGAGCCAGGGAGAGGGGGGCGGGCATCAGAAAGATTGGATGACTAACAGTTACCAACTACCTCGAATTGTACTTAACCATACAATCTTTCTCCTATATAGGTAGCTGAAACATTTATTTTTGCTCTTTTGGTGCATTTCTAGAAAGATTGTCTTTTTGAAAGGCCCCTACCAGCTTCTGCAGCTCCCCAGCATCTGCCCCAGAGCCAGGGAGAGGGGGGCGGGCATCAGAAAGATTGGATGACTAACAGTTACCAACTACCTCGAATTGTACTTAACCATACAATCTTTCTCCTATATAGGTAGCTGAAACATTTATTTTTGCTCTTTTGGTGCATTTCTAGAAAGATTGTCTTTTTGAAAGGGTTTTTTTTTGGTGTGTTATATGTATATTTAAGAACTCTTCCTGGTGTCCTGACTTTTTTTTTTTATAAATGGGCATATTGTCCCACATTTCCCTTGTAGTAGGGGGGAAGGGAGGGAAGAGAAACCAGCAGAGTTCAGGACTTCAGCTGCTGCTGCTCCATGCACTGGTGGCTCTCCTTGCCTCCCCCCCCCCCCGGGGGTGGGGCGGGGGGGGGTGGGGCCCTGCCGGCACTCAGAGCTTCAGCCTCTGGAGCCTGAGTGCTGGTGGCTCCTTGCCTCTTCCACTGTGGGGCTTGAGCCATGAGTGCCAGCGGCTGTTCTCCCCCACACTGTAGGGCTGGAGTAACGAGCACCAGTGGCTCCCCTCCCATTGCAGAGCTGAAGCCCTGAGTGCCAGCGCCCCA